TTTAATATAAAAGCTGTCTAATATTCTTTCTAAGAGGCTGCGAACGAACAAAAAAACTGACAGCAACATAAAGGTAACACATCACAGGATTTACCAAACTTTTAGCAGTTAATATCGCGAAGAGGACATACATTACGTACATGCATCACCGATGTACATACGTTACGTACCGTCTCTAGCTTAACTCAAAAGTCATAGTTTAGGGCTGGGCATTTATGGTTTGTGGTTCGAATCCAAAAGTTTTGAAAATTTTAACTATTCTGCAAAGTTTATGAACATCCAATTCAAAAAAAGTTTAATTGAATAGAATTATCTGCCGCATAAACTATTGTTTTATATACGTGGAGAATTAGGTTTTGTTTTGTATATATAGTATTGTTTATAGGTTTTTGTGTATGAAGTTTAAAATTAGGCATGATGTTTTTTCCCGATTCAGTTCATTTCTTTCAACAGTCTGTCGTTTAAATATTATCAAATCTATTTAACCTGAATCATAAATCCCATTTTTGGGGTTTTTCGGTTTGGGTGAAGTAAACTTGTAATTTGCTGGTGTTTTGAAAAAAGAACGCTTTGGATTGATGATGACTAACAAAATTTGATTTCGTTTTAATTCGGTTCTAACTCTGTTAAGTTAGGTATGTTTTGATCATAGATTAGCATAGGCTCATCATTTACATTATGTTTTAACTTTGTTTTTTAATCATACGATGAATCACATATTAAACTATACAATTAGTGTTAAAAAAAAAAAAAACTATACAATTAGATGAGTCTATGAAAAATCTATGGAGGTGTCTTACCAAGTGACAAGTCTACAGAACTGGTAGTTAGAAGAAAACGACAAAAGTCGACCACGTATTTAATGGCATGATGTGACAATTCATATAACATAGATGCTATAGACATCGTACCATATCAAGCATTTTCTTTTGATACGCTTATTACAGAAACCACAGAATTCTCACCAGACTAATGGACCACCTTTTATTCTACGGCGGAGAAATGTAGCTGCTCCAATACGGCGTCGCATGGGACCATTTTGCCTCTTCAATTCAAGCTTCCCGCCACCGTCTCATTGACATATAAAAAGGTTTATCTTGGAATCTTCCTATAAACTGAACTCTCTAACAGCTTTAGACAGTTTGTTGACATAAGCTCCAGTTTTTCTGAGGTTATAACTTGTAAATCTTATTATTGAATAATGCTTTGACGGATTTTTGCATATACATTTCAATGCATTGTTTAGTTACATAATTGTGTAGCATAAAGTAGTGGAATGAATATAGCTATTCGAATCAAACTGGAATCTGGAATAACTGGGCCTCGTGGTCCTGGTGGTAAAGGAAACCTCGGCTGAAATGTCCGCCATCACGAGTTCGAGCCCCGGCCACAACGGATTTAACATGGTATCCATTTGGCCTCCAGGACCTTCCTCGCCAATTCCGGATGAATGCGGTAGGATAATCGGACTAAGTGAGAAGTCCGGATACCTGGATTATAAAAAAAAAAAAAAAAAAAAAAAAAAAAAAACTGGAATCTGTTGTAAAGAATGGTGAAATCTGTGTCTTATTATTGCTTATGAGGTTCCATATATATATGGGATACAAGAATAAGATAAATGGAAAACGTCCAATTCCTAAAGCAACAAGGAATTGAAAATACACATAAATGGTAAAGGAGCTGGCCGCCTAGACTAATGGGTCACACGACCATTGGACCAGTCCTAAACTATCTAATGGTTATGGCCCATCCACTTAACACTTTATAACAGAATCTGGAAATTTTGGTCAACCCATCCTTTGGATTATCTTCTTTAATCCCAATATTTATATTATTATTTTCATTAGGATTTTCCTCGAATTCCCAACCATGCATATGGCAAATGTAACTGAGAATAACTTAATATATATCATGGCAATTACACACTTATAAACATGACCGATTCTGAGATTTAGGAAGTCATAGTCGATTTTTCAAAAATTTCTATTAATTTTTTTTACCAATTTAGGGACCTAACAATTATTTTGGAACTTATGTTCATATAATATTTTTCAAAAATTTTGGGGGCTTGAGACATATGTTTCAACAAACTTGGCTCATGACTGGTCCTGCCTATAAATATTAATGCATATGAACTAAGATTTACCACAACACAAGAGAGACAACGACGGGAGTCTCCAGCCGTATAAGAAGGTCTTGCATTAAGGATTAGAGAGTGAAATTGAGCCAAGAATGACCTGCCGGTTTATACACAACCGTGGCAACTGCCCACCATGAACTTTTAAAACTAGTATAGTTTTATGAAGAACTTTGAAAATGCCAATGTTGAAATTTTACATTTTTAGAAGTATGAAACTGTGTCTGTAATTCTGCCCCGTACGCATACTCATTTAGTCACATATATACATATATTTATGTATACAGTTGGTCATGAATGGGATTGACCAAGTATATAACAAGTGTGTTTTCATTCAAAATAAAATAAAGTAACAAGTTTTTCAAAAAAAAAACAAGTGTACTAAGTTCTAGCAAAGTTTAAATATACTCTTTACTTTTTTGTTTTCAAAATAAATAGTTTGATTGCTCGTATGATGCTTGGAAGATGCGAGGATGAGTGGATGGTGCTACGACTGCAATTCAACTCACATTTCAGCTACTTTAGATTCTATACGATCTGTCTTTTAGGCTGGTAAACATTCTTTTGGTCGCGCCAAACAATAGTTCGAATCATTTCGTATTATAATCACGACTTTAGCATATGTTTATTTAATATAGCTAGTTAAAGATGTGATTAATAATGATGGATGTAGGTCTCTTGTTGCGTCAGAAGCTCCTCCACGTTTGCAATTACTTCTGAAAAATACGCCTAACCATACATGTGCATGAATTTTCTTGGTTAGGAAGTGATAATTAACAAAGTTAGATGTTAGAACAGATCTGTTCGAAAAATCATAAATGAACGTAGACGGCTCAATTTATTAAACAGCCTATGTGTGATTTATTCATTGATTATTTAAATCTAATCAAATATCTAACTTTTAGTCATTTCTGGTACGTACTACTAGTTTTGGATAAAATGAAATTAGGGTAAACAGAACAAGACAGTTACCTAAAACTAATACTGGTGACATTATAATCATCACATGAGAATATTGAATATTTGATCGGCTGTTTTGTCTGCTATGACTTGAAACATTTAAGATTATAAGAGGCAGAGATCTCTCTTTCCGTAACATAGAAACAAAAAAAAAATGGACAGGACTGATCAAAACGTTATTGACGGCTCAGCCTTAGAGCTTAATCCAACTGAGAGAACGGTAGAGACCGTCCTGCGAGTCGCATCAATGGCTCTAAGTATTGCGAGTCTCGTGATCATGTTCAAAAACTCTATCTCCAATGACTTTGGCTCTCTTTCTTACTCAACTCTTGGAGCTTTCAAGTGCACTCTCTCTCTTTCACTTTCCCTCTCTCTCTCTAAAAAAGTAATCAATCGTTGAACTTTAATTTGCTTTTGTTTTTCTCTTCTTTTAGGTATTTGGTGACTGCTAATGGACTTTGTGCTACATATTCCCTCCTTTCTGCTATTTTTGTAATAATAATTCAGTGTCCTATAAGCAAGCTCAGACTCTGGACATTGTTCTTGCTTGACCAAGTTGTCACGTATGCGGTTCTAGCGGCTGGGACCGTATCTGCGGAGATGTTATACTTAGCATATAAAGGAAACTTAAACATCACTTGGAGCTCTGCTTGTGATTATTATGGAGTCTTCTGTCACAAGGCACTAGTCTCAGCTATATTAACATTCCTTGTATGTATCCTTTATGTGTCGCTTTCATTCATCTCTTCCTATAGAATCTTTAGCAGATATGAAGCACCTAAGCAGTGAAAGAGAAAAAACACATAAGCATGAGGACGGTACATGTGTATACGTGAAACCTATTTGAGCAAAGTGAAAGTGAATTGAATAAAAGAGTAACTGATATTAATTGAAGTTTTGTTTTGATAATGTTTATTCCATAGTTTTTTCTTTGACAAAATTATACAGTCAAAATGATAATAAAAATCAACTCTTTCATCTATCAATACTATAAACATGTATGATTTATTTCCGGTCATGCAATACAAATGGTCCTATACTTCATATGTTGGCAAATGGACATTGGCGAAGATGAAAAAAAGTCCAAATGGTTAGCTCATATGTGCTTTTTTTTTTTAACCACTGAGCTCATATGTGCTTTATATAACAAAAAACAATTATGGCGAAAATTTGCATAAAAGCTTACAAATTCAGCTCCTATAGCTAGCTAGAAGGGATCTCTACAATATTATTTGAGAAGTCAATTTCCTACGTGTCGCACTCATGTTAACTCTTGCGATGGTTGATTACATAGATACCCTTAATGAATTGTTAGATTTTAAGATTATTATTAAATTTTTTTGTGTAATTTCTTTTTTACCTTTTTCCAAATAACATATATAATAAAAAGGAAATATTTCTAAAATTTTAAAACAATTTTAAAAACGAAATTATATGTATATAATATGACTTTTTTAAAAAAGGAAAGTTCACAAAATATTAATACCTCCATTAATATATATTTTTAAATAACATAAAATATATTTTCAAAATAATAAAGATATATATGTTCATGAACATCCAAAAATTTATCAGTTACACTTTATTTCTAATATTTTTTAGAAATCAACATCTAATTTGATAAATAATGAAAATATAATTTGATTTGAATTAACTAAAATAAAGAGTAAATAAATATTATGAAAATACATGTATATTTAAGCGCTACATAAAACTAATTTGATTTGACTTAACTAAAATAAAAAGTAATTATACTTCCATTTTAATTTAAAAATATATTTAACTCAATATACTCACAAAATGAATGACTCGGCTAATCTAATTTATATCCAAAATTAAACATCTAACTACAAGAAGAATATAGCATTTATTATAATAATATATTTAATTTTATACATATAAATTAGAGGTTGACACAAAGCATATTACAAAGAAAAAGAAAATATTAACCAATTACAATTTAATTCTTTTGTAGAATTCATATATATGCATGAGACTTCAATATATTATCATTATATTCATTTATGTAATTTTGAATAAAACACTTCAGCTTATTATTTATTTCATTATAAGCACAATATCTATTAAGTTATACATAATTTAACCACAATATACCAAATTGATAACCAAACTGACTATTGATCCAAAAAATAATTAAACTGACAATAATATATCTAAAGTCCTATGTATAATTAGAATAATATAATATTTATTAATATAAATTATATATATAAACTGATTCAAAACTAAAACTAAATATCAATCAATTATTATAAAATTTTACTTTTATGAATATTCAACCCGTGCATGAGCACGGGAAAATCACCTAGTATGAATCAAATGTGAATAAAAGAAAACTGCATATAATTTCAGAAAAAAAAAATATATACAGTGTGACCCCTTGAGAACAAAAAATTGGAAGCGAGTTCGAAAGCAAATCATCACATAAAGCCCATTTATAATTATTGGGCCGCGTCTTGATTAGTCAACCGCAAGCGTTGACTATTTGACTTCTAGAGTGCAATCATAGGTTACGATAAGTTCACTACTAGCCTTTAATAATTAGTCTTTTACCCCAAAACAATAATATCGTCTAATATTTTATAGACGTTTTAGAATGTACATAGGTCCCTTTGTGTGTTGGTTATGTCAATAATTGATTCGTAAGTTACGTTATTTATATTTATTTCAGGCTCTAGTTAGTAGTTAGTTTTTATTTAGGTATTTAAATATTTCTAACTAAGAAGTGGGCGTAGTTCAATGTATTTGAAAACCCCATATGGTATGTTGTTTGATTCCCTTTATTTAATAAAATATTGTGGGCTCCAAGGTGATGATTAGGAGCTTCTGTCATGTTTTGAACTCAATGAATGGTCCATGATATGACCATGTTAAACTTGTTAAATTAAAGTGCTTTGTAGTTTGTACTAACCAGGGAGCTTGATCAGGACACAATAATTATAATTAAGTAACAAATTAATCATCGTATATATAAACAAAAGTAAGCTAGATGCAGTGCACCTCAAAAGGAACTAACTATATGTTTACACTCCAATGCGTATTATTTGGGCGTCGACATGACTCCGATGCATTTATAGTAATTTTGGAAATAAGAATTGTTTATAAATTAGGTCAACATTTCATAAAAGTCCTTTAAATTCCTCAAGAAACAACATATAGATAACATTTTGGTTAAGCTAAAGTGGTTAGGTGGTGGAAACTCATTTGATTAAGAGATTTGACTAAAGGTTCATTATTGATTATATACCAAAAAGTTTAAGTTTCAATTCCTAAAAACACACAAAATTATACAAACTAACTAATAAAACATTTACTAGAGTTCTGAATCATGTCACAAAGAATACGATCAAACATGGATTTTGTAGGATAGTTCAGGTGGTACAGTTAGATGTAATTGTTCATAAAACATATATAAGTGTTAGATATAAAATTATTTGTAACATTTTTCATAATTTGCAATAATATAATTATCCATCGATGAAAAAAATGATTAGGTAAGTATATATGTTAGTTGCTTATAGTAAACCCCACATATGTAAGCGTATGTCGTCTTGATGTGTATTGTAAGAGCAATAATACGAGAGCTTATATATTCGGGTTACTCTAAGCAACTGACATCTACTCAGCTAACCTATTTAGCCTAACAAATCTGTTCTAACATAAAATAGAAGTGAAAATATTTTTTTTTTGTTTTCTTTCAACAAATGTTTTTTATACCTACGTATTTACATTTTCATGTAAAGCACGGATTAGATTAGTCTCAAATTAATCTGATCAATGTATGTGTCATAATGCACATTATATTGTTATATATAATATATATACAAATAGACTTCATATAAATGAGATTCTTTCTCCTTCTGTCAGAAGTAGTTGTGACAAAATGCAACTATTCATCACATGAAAGGTTAAGCATTATTTCGTCTTCAAATAATGGTTTCTGTTAATAATTAATACAGGTTGGATTTTTCGTCCCCATCAATTATTTCTCTAAAATTCCTTGGTCTTTTTTTTTTTTTTTTACGTTTGCAGTATATTATTCATAGCATTCGAATTTAAAACAAATACTTAAAAATCGTTACTAAGAGTTGGTTCATTCGATAATTGATGTACTGGTAAAATAACTAAGATGATACAATATATATGCATATAAACATGCATACAACATGACACACACATACACTTTCCCAATAGTCGATGGTAAATGTAAAGCTATTTAATTATGAGAAGCTATTAATTATCTTACTTAAAAATCGTTACTAAGAGTTAGTTCATTCGATAATTGATGTACTGGTAAAATAACTAAGATCATACAATATATATGCATCTAAACATGCATACAACATGACACACACATACACTTTTACTCTAAATCCCAATAGTCGATGGTAAATGTAAAGCTATTTAATTATGAGAAGCTATTAATTATCTTACTATCACGTTCGTCGACCAGAGTATAAATGGATCGATTCATTATGCCAAACCACGTGGTTAATCAACAAAATCCCATTATTTCTAATGCAAATCACTTGAAGATTCATTGACAATTTGACATTATTGTGTTTAATTACCAGTTAACACATATACTTATGGTAAGATCCTCGTGTTTTCCCTTTCCTGACATCTTGGGATTACCAATTTTTGTCTGGCGAATTTGTTTTGCAACTGCATCATGCAATTAGGTACCGGTCTACTCTGGCATATATCCATAGTTTATAATAATGCTTAAATAAAATACTATCTTATAAACTGCTCTGAAGAAAACAAATATGTTGATGAAACTACACTTGAAGCAATCATCAATCTGTCACTTCTCTAGATGGCCGGTTAAGCCTATAACCGTCAAATCTCTCCATTTAGCTTTAATAAGAAGACTTCTTTATCAGTGACTCCATGTATCAACCTGATCAACGAGCAATCCACGAGCTTATAACTTAACAACTTCAATAATTAATTGGGACAAACATATAGAGTATTTTATTAAAAAGGTTTAATAATTTAGGTAGGAAGTAAATGGGAATTATTGGAAGAATTATTAACCTAATTATATACTGATAGAAGCGACAAAGATGGGTCTTATGTTGGCCACGTGCCAGACAAAGTAAGACTTTTGAGTCGACGTGAGTCCCGCAACGGTAAGAAGCTTTAGAGCAAGTTTAACCCAAAGACCCATTTAGGTCTCTTATTCCTTATTTTAATAATTAAAAGCAAATAAGAAACTCACTTAAGAGACACTATAATTTTATGTCTTTAATGGTGGTCTCTTATTTTGGAGTTTTTAAATTAAAAAATAATAAAAAAAATTCAAATATTTTTTTTTAATTAAATAAAACATTATAAAAGATAACATTTTAAACATAGATTGAGAAAAAAAGAAATGATGGTACAAACATTTTAGTACAATAAACGAGAATAATTTGAAAGAAACATTCGATCTTAGTTGTTGCCTCCATCTTGTCCAAATTTACGCCATATATGTTCAACCAGATCATCTTTCAGTTGTTGATGCATTTGTCTATCATGAATTCTAGTTCGAGCATCCATCATATCGGCGATATTTGAAGGCATATCAGTAGAATATGTGAGATCGACATGTGAACTTCCGGTGTGTTCTCCTAGTTCGAACTCTGAAACATCAAATTGAGTATAGCCTTCTCGTTCGTCTTCTACTATCATATTATGGAGTATGATACATGCTCTCATAATGTTCCCAACTTTGGTTTTGTTCCAAAAAAGTGCCGGATTTTTAACAATGGCAAAACGAGCTT